GGAGAGCAAGGGAATCAAAGTCTAGAGCATCTAACGGCAACCATTAAACAGAACAAGAGAAGGGAACAGTAAGAGAGACTATGCGATATTACCAGAGAGAGCATTCCACGGCGGGCTTGACGAGGAAGATAGAAAACCACCCGGAGAATGACACAACCTAAGCGACAGTGCCCCTCAGGAAGCTAGACACGGCTCGTGGTGGCGGAAGCAGGTTGCGCTGGTGGCGCAGGAGCCGGTCCTCTTCGCTTGCTCGATCCGGGACAACATCGCGTATGGCAAGCCCGCCGCCGCCGACGACGAGGTGCGCGCGGCCGCCAGCACGGCCAACGCGGAGGCTTCGGTGGACGCCTTCCCGCGCGGGTTCGACACCATGGTTGGCGAGCGGGGCGTCCAGCTGTCGGGCGGGCAGAAGCAGCGGATCGCCATCGCGCGCGCGCTCCTCGTCGATCCAAAGGTGCTGCTGCTCGACGAGGCGACCTCGGCGCTGGACAGCGAGTCGGAGTTTGTCGTGCAGGAGGCGATCGACAGGCTGATGGCGTCGAGAACGACGGTGGTCATCGCGCACCGCCTCTCCACCATCCGAGACGCCTCGCTCATCTGCGTGGTGTCGAAGGGACGGATCGTCGAGCGCGGAACGCACCAGGAGCTGATGGCTGCGACTGGGCTGTACAAGCAGCTGACCGCGCGGCAGGCGCTTGGCCCGGGGGGGGGGAGGCGGATCGGGAGCGGGCCGTGAGGCGCGGGCTGGCGAGGGCGGGGCGGTGGAGGAGGCTGCCAGTCGCGTGGCAGGAGAGAGTAGAGCTCGGTGAAAGGTGTGTGGGTTAGGGTTTGCGGGGTACCTATGAACAGGAGCGAGTTCGCGCTGCGCTAGGCTCAGACGGCGCTGCTGCGCTAGGCTCAGTACGGCGAGTTTCGCGCTGCGCTAGGCTCAGTACGGCGAGTTTCGCGCTCCACGGCTACCATGTAGCATGTTCAATCCCCCCTCCGGGTGATGCCAGGGCAGCAAATCGGCTACGGGTGGTGCCATGCAGCCAGCGTGCCAGCCTGACCCCCTAGAGCCGCCCGGCACCACCGCACCGGTGCGAGGCGTGATCGTGCTGCTTGGGGTTCATGGGCTCGAATGCGGGTGTGAAAGTGAAAAGGAGATCCGAGGTGCCGATTTCGCACCAGGGTGCGAGGTTCGTGCTCCGTCCACAGGCTGCGAGCCGTCGAGTGCTCGCTTCGCACTTTCAATTGGGTCCGTTGGCGGCGTCACCCGCAAAAAGTTCTTCGGAAGCCACTGCCGTCTGGGCATGAGTTGCGCGTGGCGACCATGGACGCGACGCGCGTGTTGGAGACAGCCGCCTTATTGGTCGCCGCTTGCGCCCGCTCACGCCCGAGCTGCTTGCGGAGACTCGAGTCGCCGCGCGACGTGAACACGTCGTCGTTAGCGAGGTACTCCTGTGCCTCGCCCAGAGCGTGCTGCACTGCCGCATACTGCTGGCGGTAGGTTCGCGCCTTGAGGTGCAAATCTCTCCCCGCCTCTGCGTTCACCTTGTGACGGTGCCCTGGCAAAATCGTCCCGATTTCGATGCGCGATTTAGCTAAGTCCCAGAGCCGTTTACGCATGAGCGGGCCCCCTCACCAGCCTAGGGCTCGCGCTTCTGGCCCGAGGTGTCGCCGCTGCCTCCCGCGCCCTCCGGCGCCTGCTGCTACTGCCAGTCGGCCGGTCGGGTCCGCGCGACGGCTCCATCCTCGAGACGTAGCGGTCGCTGAGCGCTTTCTCGACCGCTACGTCTTCCAGTGCACCCACCCACCGCGACCCTCGAACCTGCGCTGCGCGGCGCAGTTGCTGCCGAGCGAGACGCCCCCGCCCGCGCAGGGGCGGCATCACCAGACGCTACCGCATGGCCGAGCAGCGAGCAGTGTGTGCCGCAGTGCCCGTCCGGGCCCTCTTGCAGCTGCCTCTATTGGGCGTAAACCGCGGATATAAGGGTCTATACGGAGGTGGGTGGCCTCTTAGAGGTATGGGAGCCGCTGGCACCGCGCTGGGCGCCGCGGATGCACGTACGAACGAACATTATGAAATCGGGACGATTTTGACCCAAAAATCACAAGGTGCCTTTGCCCCTGCGCGGCTCAGCGCGCCGCCGCAATCCGTCCCTCTTCGCCGTCGAAGGCCAAAGTCGACGGAATCGCCCAGGAGTTTGGCGCCGTCAGCACGGCGCAGTGCGAGGCGAGAGGCAAGCAGAATCCCATTCTGATGCACGGCGCAGAGAGACGCTGTCGGCTTGAGCATGCAACAATTAGGGTCGCGCGCGGTGGAAAACCATGCCGGTTGGCGTTCCGCCCACGGTTCGACGAGCCGAGGTAAGCCAAGCTTATGGGCTTGTGGGTACATGTCTCCGACACTCGGGAACACCGGTTATACGCGCGAGAAGCCTCACATGCGCCCTCGCGTGAATTAAAACGTGTTTCCGCCCCCAAAAGCTACAGTGTGAAGGGTTAGGGTTAGGGTTAGGGTTAGGGTTAGGGTTAGGGTTAGGGTTAGGGTTAGGGTTAGGGTTAGGGTTAGGGTTAGGGTTAGGGTTAGGG